ACACTTTTTTCAGCCATAACCAGATCCACTGAAATTCAAATCAATTTTTTTTATATTGTGTGGTAGTGAGTGCTGCTGTGACATTTTTTATAGGCCAACCCGAAAGTTAGCATCACCCTGGTTCCCTTGACAAAACCCCAGGGCTTGCAAAATCGCTAGTCGAAGTCCCGGGGCTTTTGTATCTTCCAACCCGGCTACCAAAATGTATCACTGCCCTGCCCGATGGGCAGTCTTGAATAGTGATATAAAATTCCTTCCTTGATTCGTGTTGTTCACTCGCTTGTAGGGGTGAAACGGATCGTAGTTGATCATTTGCACGTGTTTGCAATTTAAACAAGAGAATTCAATTCAGTACTCGTGCACTGTTTTCTTTTTTTCAGACAGTGCATGAACCCAAAATTGATTCCTTTTACGCGTCTCCTTGAGCTTGAACGGACACATTCACACAAATTTCTCAAAATGCATGTTTGGGCAAGTATTCTCGTAAACACAGTCGGTTTTGTCTTACTTGAACGTAAACAGTGGAGAAAGAAATTGCATGTGCATCATTATATTGGATCCATGCTGTCGGTCTTAAAGTGACAGCGACCTATAAAAACCTGCCGCTGACAAATATAAGCTATAATGTTTTTGTTATGTAAATTAATTTTGTTTTTCATATATTATTTTTAGAGCAGACCTATGTAGGCTACTCACGTAATTAACGTTATGCATTTAACGAACACTTACAAGCATGCACTTTGGTAGAATTCAATTCAAATTATCAGCAGCAGCCATTAGTTCAGTAAAATTAAGCACCAGAATGGACAAATTTGTTATTAAAGGGTTAGTTCACCCAAAAATGAAAATAAGCCCATATATTACTCACCCTCAAGTCATCCTAGGTGTATAAGACTTTCTTCTTTCAGACGAATCCAGTCGGCATTATATTAAAAATTGTCTTTGATCTTTCAAGCTGTTTCATGGCACTTAGCGGGTGTTGCATGCATCGGTCCAAAAGAAGTTAAATAAAAAGTGCCCATCCATAAAAAAAATTTGTCTCACACGGCTCCGGGGGGTGAACAAAGGCCTTCTGTAGCGAATCGATGCGTTTTTGTGAGAAAAATATCCATATTCAAAACGTAATTACTTTAATGTAGCTTGCGCCAACAGTTGTGCACAGAAGCAGCTCCGGGCTGATGACGTATGAGTTCAGCGTTGCGCATGCGCCAGTGAGTCTTGTGAAAACCAACGTTTGTTAACAGGAGCAAAGGAAGCAAAGTTTCCTTACTTTAGCGAAGGAAAACCAGTCTCGTCTTGGCTTATATCGAAATCCTCCGACATTCTTCTTTACAAATCCTCGTTTTGTACTCCTAAGTGACCATTCACCGTTGTTTTGTTTTGATCTCACCGCTGCGTTTCCGCGTGCGTCACTTCTGAGCAGCGCATGCGCAAAGCCGACCTCATACGTCATGCGCCCGGAGCTGCTTCTGTGTAGGACTGTTGGTGCAAGCTACATTAAAGTGATTATTACGTTTTGAAGTTTTTTTATGTTTCAGTTTTGAATGTTTAAGTTAGAATAGTTTGCAAGCACATGATAAACATGAGACTGTAAAAGTTGAATCAGATGTGATGTATATTGTGTGTTGTGAAATGTTTTAAAGACATGCAGTGCATTTTATCACATTCTGTACACATCCTTACATTTTTCCTTTTTATGTCTTTAACAGTTAACCATGAAAGGCCTTTTCACTCTCTTAAATACAGGAGTGAAATGTTATAGTTTAAGTGAGCTGATAGCTGCCTCACTTTAGATGCCTATAATCACAGAATAATAGATGCAGTTTTCACAATAAATAAAATATTTTTTCTGATTGGTTTTAATCCAGAAGATGTGGGGGGAGGAATTCATTGCATAGTTATGGCTCCCACTTTGCTGGAGGGAACAAATAGTTATAGATCCAATTACTTGTGGTTTTCTCTGATTTGGAGCAGGAGAGAGGATCTTTTGTGAGGGTGATGGATTTAGATATATGAAATAGGTGGAAAGGTTTCTGAGAAGGTGAATGATTGACGTGTAGAATATGTAAGAAAACAAAGAAAAGTTTAAGTTTGTGACATTTCTTTAAAGTCAAAATGGGACAGGCAGCTGTGTGTGTACTGACAGGTAAGAGAACAGTTTCCATTTGCAGTTAAGACTCTTAATTTCCATGTTTGTTTGAGATAAAAGCTATCAGGATGCTGTGGTTCCCAGAGTTGGTTTTAAATGATGACACAGCTCTGTGTTGTTTAGAGCACAGGCTTGTCTACTGTCACTGACAGTTGGGACAGTCTTGCATTCATCGCTCTTCACTTAGTGACCTAGATCACATTTTCCCTTTAGCGACAGGTGGAGCGAACAATTTTTTCAGTGTTTTGTATTTTTTGATGTTTACAATGCTTACAAAGCTGCTCTTTGTTCCTTAAATATTCTATTTTTGTTTTCTTTTTCTTCTCCACATCATTAGAACATTCTAACTTACATTATAGAACTGTGTGCCTGCAAATCTAATTGGTCAAGGAGTGTTTTTTAATTCTGTTAATTACAGTCCTACAGCATTGGGACTTTTAGGGCCCTATGAATTGGCTTTATTTTTTCCCAAATTCTGTTTTTTTCCATCTTAAATGATTCCATCTTTTCTAGATTCAGTTTTTTTTCCTGCTTAAATTTTTTCTATACTCCGTTTTAATGGTTAAATTAAAATGTTATTAATCAAAAGCATGTCTTATTAATTGAAATAATGAAACTTACAGTATTAAACAGGAATTTATTAAAAGTTGAACAAAAATAAAACAGTGTTTTTTAATTCTGTTAATTACAGTCCTACAGCATTGGGACTTTTAGGGCCCTATGAATTGGCTTTATTTTTTCCCAAATTCTGTTTTTTTTCCATCTTAAATGATTCCATCTTTTCTAGATTCAGTTTTTTTTCCTGCTTAATTTTTTTCTATACTCCGTTTTAATGGTTAAATTAAAATGTTATTAATCAAAAGCATGTCTTATTAATTGAAATAATGAAACTTACAGTATTAAACAGGAATTTATTAAAAGTTGAACAAAAATAAAATTTTAAGGTCTTATGAAATATATATAATTTTTCTCCAATTCAGATTAATTTTTACCAAATTTTACAAAATCTGTTATCCATAAATTTTCTGGATTCCATTTTAATGGTTTCATTAAATATTAATAATCAAAAGCATCTATAATTAATTGATTTCATAAAAAAATATTTTTACTTGATCCCATGATTTCATCCATGTTTTCCGTATTGCAGAAGGCTCTAGACTTTAAGGCTCATAGGGCTCTAGACTTTTCACTGTTTCTATCACTTTAAATGTCTGCATTTACACGTTCCTAAAAGGGAAAAAGAGGAACCTTTATTCTCAGGTTCTGTGCCATTCAACATTACAATTATTTTTGCTCTTGTCATTATTGTAAACATGGAAAAGTTTTTTTTTAGAAAAGTCCTTCCTAATTTGGAATGTTAGGATCCTGCATGGTTGTTAGGACAGTGTTATTTGGAAGGATTAAATAATACGATTATCTGTATTTGGTTGATCTCATTGAAGTTGTCTCAATTAAAGGGATAGTTCACATAAAAATTTATTTTCCATAATGAACTGTCATTTTATGAAAAAGAGCATTGTGAGGATTCTGATATTCATAGCATGCAGGTTTGGAATGCCATGAGTGAGAAAATAATGACAGAAATATAATTTTTAGTGAACTATCCTTTTAAAGGGTTAGTTCACCCAAAAATGAAAATTAGGCTCCGTTTTACTCACCCCCGAGGCATCCTAGGTGTATATGACTTTTTTCTTTCAGACAAATCCAGTTGGAGTTATATTAAAATTGTCTTTGATCTTTCAAGCTCTGTCATTGCAGTCAGTGGATGCTTCAGTCCAAAAGAAGTTAAATAAAAAGTCTCACATGGCTCCAGGGGGTGAACAAAGGCCTCCTTTAGTGAATCGATGCATTTTTGTAAGAAAAATATCCATATTCAAAGCGTAATAATCACTTGAATCTAGTTTGCGCTCACTGTTGTAAACTGAATCAGTTCCAGGGGAATGACGTATGAGGTCGGCGTTGCGCATGCGCCACTCAGAAGTCAAGAATTAGAAGTACAAAACGAGGATTTGTAAAGAAGAATATCGGAGGATTTCGATATAAGCCAAGAGGAGACAGGGTTTACTTTGCTAAAGTAAGGAAACTTTGCTTCCTTTGATCCTGTAAACAAACGTTGGTTTTCACGAGACTCATCGGCGCATGCGCAACGCTGAACTCATACGTCATTCTCCTGGAACTGATTCTGTGTACAACTGCTGGCACAAGCTAGATTAAAGTGATTATTCCATTTTGAATATGGATATTTTTCTTACAAAAACACATCGATTCGCTAAAGGCCTTTGTTCACCCCCCGGAGCCATGTGAGACACTTTTTTTATGCATGGGCGCTTTTTATTTAACTTCTTTTAGACTAAAGCAATGCAACACGCGCTGACTGCAATGATAGAGCTTGAAAGATCAAAGACAATTTGTAATATAACTCCAACTGGATTAGTCTGAAAGAAGAAAGTCATATACACCTAGGATGCCTCGGGGGTGAGTAAAACTAGTTTTCATTTTTGGGTGAACTAACCCTTTAAGACCTCTTTAAACTGTTTTAACTTTTCAGTTCTTATTAAAAAAAGTTATAATAAAAATGTGGGTTTACATATAAATATTGTTCAGATGACAAAATAGACTCGTAATTAATGTTTTGTTACTCACAGAAAAAAAAAACATGACATAACCATCAATCTACGTTGTGTTTGATTACAAAACAAATGCCTTTTGAAACATTATTCGTTTGAAACAAGTGCTTTCATGCCAAGACATCATCATGCCTCATACCTCTCTAATGGAGGGATCAGCAACTGACTGATTTGTTGAAAACATCACATCATGTCCTGACTTTTATTTCCATATGTTTTCCTAGAGTTGCTGGGCTCCACAAAGAGGCTAAATGTGAACTACCAAGACCAAGAAGGGTAAGTTCTCACATTTTCCACACAGTTGGTCCAAATTGTGGAGAACAAGGAAATTATGTATTATATATGTAGCTTCCTTGTTTTCCATATATGTATATAGAAGATTTTATTATTATTTTTTTTTACTGAAGATAATAGTTAATGTTAGTGCATTGGACTAAAAATAAAGCTTTTTAATATAAAGGTGCATAAGCTCAGATCAATGTGGCTTGCTGAAAGAAAACAAGCTGACAAAAAGACTCAATTTGTTGATAATATAGCAATGAAATGTGAGATTTACCAGCTATTTTTAAAAGTCTGGTCATTTTTGACCAAGAGCACCAAATTAGGTAAAGGATTTTCAGCACAGCACAAGGGATAAATCTACAGAAATTATAACATTTTGATGGGTTGTTTTGTGAGTCATCCAAACCTGCCTCCTTTACAGTTAAATATTTATGCAGTAAACTCAGAAAATTTGACTCAAATTCTCAAATGTATGAATTTTGCACGTTTATAACTGTTGAGAAGCAGATTGAAGCAAACAGAGTACATCAGACAAAGCTACACAAAAGCTTCGGTCACATTTATGTTACTCATCAGAACATTGCGTGCATGTCCCACCTGTTTAAACACTGGAAATGTGCTGTTGTATCATGTTGACATCCTTCTTTTTTACTAAAAAGTGGTATATGCTTTCCAATGCCATGACTAGTCAACCCTTATTCAATTTCAAAACTCTTAACAATCTTGTTGAAAATGATTTGTCACAAAAATATGATTAAGGAAGAAAACACTTATTTTTATTATTAGTTCTTTTATTTTATTTTTTATATTATATTATTTTATATTGTTATTTTTAGTTATTATTAAACATATATCTATTATTATGTTTAACTATATTAATAATTAAAAAATATACACCTGTCAAACTAGAATACACATATGATTGAGCAAACATACTATATATATATATATATATTAGTATATATAGAATGTTTGCTCAATCATATGTTGATTCTAGTTTGACAGGCGTTTATTTATTTTTTTTAGTATCTTGAAACTGTACAGCCATCTATGCATTGTTTTTGCACTCAGAGAAGAGATTCATTCTTATCAGTCCCTAAAGCAATAATGAAGTCATCAATAACTTTAATTACACCCTAGTATACTATATTAACTGTAGGGCATAACTGAATATTTGACTCATCCACCAATTATCATTTCCTCTGTGTAGTCTTCTGCAGTAACAATTATGTTCCCCTAGTTTAACTTTCTTCAGTTAAACAAGGAAAAAACTGAAGTCATTGCATTTGGAAACAAAGATGAAGTTCTCAAGTTGAATGCATACCTTGACTCTAGGGGTCTAACAACTAAAAATCAAGTCAGGAATCTTGGTGTGATTCTGGAGACAGACCTTAGTTTCAGTAGTCATGTCAAAGCAGTAACTAAATCAGCATACTATCATCTCAAAAACATTGCAAGAATTAGATGTTTTGTTTCCAGTCAAGACTTGGAGAAACTTGTTCATGCCTTTATCACCAGCAGGGTGGACTATTGTAATGGTCTCCTCACCGGCCTTCCCAAGAAGACCATTAGACAGCTGCAGCTCATCCAGAACGCTGCTGCCAGAATTCTGACTAGAACCAGAAAATCTGAGCATATTACACCAGTCCTCAGGTCCTTACACTGGCTTCCAGTTATATTTAGGATTGATTTTAAAGTACTTTTACTCGTTTATAAATCACTCAATGGCCTAGGACCTAAATATATAGCAGATATGCTCACTGAATATAAACCGAACAGACCACTCAGATCATTAGGATCAAGTCAGTTAGAAATACCAAGGGTTCACACAAAACAAGGGGAATGTGCTTTTAGTTATTATGCCACCCGCAGTTGGAATCAGCTTCCAGAAGAGATCAGATGTGCTAAAACATTAGTCACATTTAAATGCAGACTCAAAACTCATCTGTTTAGCTGTGCATTTATTGAATGAGCACTGTGCGATGTCCGAACTGATTGCACTATGTTCTATGTATAATCGTTTTCTTAAATTCATTTTAAACCTCTTAAATAAATTTTTTTAATCATTTTCAAAGTTTTTAAATTCCTTGTTTTATTATGAATATTTTTTTTCTTTTTTCTTTTCTTTTATGTAAAGCACTTTGAATTACCATTGTGTATGAAATGTGTTATACAAATAAACTTGCCTTGCCTAGTAAATTAATTAGTGAAGAAAGATAAAACACTTGGCATTAAGGTAGGTTTAATCACTCATTACAAAATGATCTGTATAATTTTGCCTTGCTGTGTTTAAATATGTTTTTTTTTTTAAACCAATTAATGATTTATTAAAGTGTGTGTTTCTTTTGAAGCTACTCGTCAGTGTACAGGGTCATTAGCATTATAATGTACATTGTACAGTGGTAGAGAGAGCTCAACGCGCTGCAACTTCAACATGCAAATATAAAAAGCACCAGCAAATTAAGAAAACATCATCAGTTTGACAGCACATGTGCTGCAAATACTCGCAACACAATCAAATACAAAAACACGCTGCAAATGCTCACAACACAAACAAATAAAGAAATGCGCTACAAATACTCACAACACAACCAAATAAAGAAACGCATTGCAAAAACAGAAACACGCTGCAAATACTCACAACACAATCAAATAAAGAAACGCACTGCAAATAGCCACAACACAACCAAATAAAGAAATGCAAGTACAGACCACAACGGGAGGACCCAACAATGCCAAAATTACCCCAACAAAACGAAAATTAACCATGTTTTTTTGGATTGATTACCATTTGTATAACCACAGTTGTACAAATACCATGGTTAAACTATGGTTAGTGTAGTAAATCCATGGTTAATTTGTGGTTACCATACTATAGTAGTAGTAGTATAGTTATAAATACTACTATAGTATGGTAACCATACTATAGTAGTATTTATAACTATACTAACCATTTTTTGTTTTTATTTATGTTTTACATAATAAATGTATTTATTAATTAATAAATTTTAATAGTAAAACCATCTGGTTAATTTTTGCAAGGGAAGTTGTAAATTAAGTTAGCCAACTAACATGCTTTCACAGTTACAGTAATTGTGTATTTCGTCAGCTTATTTATGCTAATAATAATAAAAATAAAAAAGAGAAGTAGCAAAGGAATTGTATGATCAGGATGTTAAAATAAACAAAAATCTCACCTTTCAGAACAAACACTGATAAATATGTCCCTGCATATTAAACATTTCCGATGTGGTCTGTGCCTATTTGCAGTACATTTCTTTATTTGGTTGTGTTGTGAGCATTTGCAGCGCGTTTCTTTATTTCGTTGTGTTTTGTAGCGAATTTAACTCATGGGGAAATATGAATAATTAACCATAACTAATTATGATTAATTATTAATATTTTAGATCCACTGTAGATATTTAGCTGACCACTCAGGGTCAACCGTCTTGTCAATTCTAAGAACGTTAATTTCCTGGTTAAAGGAAATAACTTTCTTACTGTACAATTCTATAAGTTTGTAACGTAAATCTGCATGATTATTGACTCCGGTTATGAGTAAACAATGAACACGTCAAGTGTGATACAAGTAAGGTTTTATTAACTACATAAACACTTAAACTAGTCTAACATACTACATAAACACATTAAGCCGGTCTAACATACACATACACACACACACACATACAGTTGGTATAGGAAAGGGTTAAAGTTTAGCACTAAAGAAAGAGACATAAGGAATGACATTTATGGAACCATTTTGCATATTCAGCAGATCTAAAACCTGAGGGAAAACGTCAGATTCTTAGTTCAAACAAACCTTGTAAAAAGGTGTAACTGATACTTAATGCATCAATTAAATCGACTAAGTTTGATACTTGCGTATGTCTGAAAAAGATTCCTGATGCAATCTTAAGGCCCCAAGATCTTGCTGAAGTTGGTTGATGAAAAAGAGCTAGTTTGAGTCAGAATCACTTGATGAATGAAAAGGACTAGGCCGGAGCCTGGCACGAGCTTTGGTATCCTGGAGCGTTTCTCACATCTTCATCTTAGCATCTCACTGAACCACCGAACAGGGCGGGTCACATGGAGTGTGGCCTTTTAAAGCCTGCAGAGATTCACGCCTCTCAAGATGGGTTCGTCCAATGAGGAAGGCTGAAATCCCAAGCGGGAGGTTGGAAATACTGAGGATTTTTATGACTCTTTGTCTGTAAGCATGGTATTTTGCATATGTAATTCGCTGGAGTGTTGAGGCACAAATTAGTACCGATTCTTAGAACATCAATATGTTGCAGAGGTATCAGCATGTAATATGCACTCTCAGTTAGATCATCCGAAGACGAATTCATAGATACTAGACATGGTAGAGTTACTTATATGAATGAGTGGTTTATCGTAAGCATGAATAAAAATAGTCTATAATACAACAGATTAAATACAACACAGCAATAATATACACAATGGCCTGAAGAAAATGGGTGTTCATTCAAAGAAGGTTTTCCTATGAATTAATTAGTAGAAAAGTCAGTTTCTCCTGTGCATTTGTGCCTTTCTTATGAGGAAAATGAGGGAGTTTATCCCCTGCATTCCTTTTAGGCCATAAAACCAGTGATATCAGCATTGGTTACCATGGAACCAGAGGCCTGTTCTGCCTTTCTGAGGTGTTAGGTGCATTTCGGGGGAAGGGTCCATAGACCCTCGTAATTGGCCATTTGGTTAGGTGATGGGGAGTTCGATATTATTTGTTAAATATAACAAAAAGTTGTGTGTCTGATTGGTCCAAATGCTACATAATTCCCCCCTTTCGAACGTTGTTGTCCATCCAATAGACAACAGCGAGCGACGTCAAAGGTGCAAAACAACCCAGACACGCCCCTGCCACTCACGGCTGGGAGACAGTGGTGGCTTCTCTGGCTATTGTTGCCTCCAGGAGTGGTTGTGGTGCCATGGTGGATGCTGTTAGGTGGTGTGCTGTGGTGATGTAGGCTGTAGCAAG